AAAAATAAAAATAAAATGAAAGAAAACAAGGGAGAAAGAAAATAGATAAAAAATATTTATAGATGGATTATATGAAAAACATCAGTGCGATTGTTTCAAAATAAAGTGGGGTATTTAAAAAAGAGGAAAAGTGACTTGGAAAAAATAAATAAAAATAAGTGATTTTTGAAATGTAGGTAAGGAGTAGGTGAAGTGGAGGTGGTAGTGGTGTGGTGGGTTAGGTTTAGTGGAGTAGGTTTAAGTGGGTGAAGTAGGTGGAGAGTATGTGGATTTAGTGGGTTAGGTTTAGTGGAGTAGGTGAGGTGGTAGTGGTGTAGTGGGTTAGGTTTAGTGGAGTAGGTTTAAGTGGGTGAAGTAGGTGGAGAGTAGGTGGATTTTAACAGTTTGTAAAATGGTAATTAGTAGAAAAGAGTAGCAAAATAGACTGGAAATAGGGTGAAATTGAATGGTATAAGAAAACAATTGAAAGCAAGAACGTCATGCAATCCAAGAATAAAAGGGAAAATAAATACTTAAGAGCTCGCGCAGTTGATGTCAAAGAGTTGTCCTAATGTAATCGTGTAGAATTGATTTTGCAGTGTTGGCCTTTGCTTTGATAGTATCATAGCAACTTGTTGCATGGTTGGCCGAGACAGTGGAGTGGTGTGTAAACATGCAAATGCTAGTTTCGCAACAACAACTACTTGCTCTGCCACTTCATTCCTCGGAAGTAGGAGGCGTTGGTCCAAGACGTCCTTCAAAAATATCCCTTGCGCAATCGATGTTGATGATGAGGATGAGGATGACAATAAAGAAGAGATTAGATCACCCGGATGCTTCCCCATAATCACTTCCAGTGCTAGCACCCCAAAACTATAAACATCGCACTTCTCATTCACTTCCATTGTATAAGCAAGTTCTGCCCAAAATTAAAAATGCCCAACAACAGAAAATAGTTAAATAAAGAAAGGGTGGAAAAGTAAACAAAAAATGCTCTTAGCCCATTTCCAGACATTGATTAAATTGCTTGAAATTCTTTGATAAAAGATGCGAATAGTTTAGGGTTCCAAAATAAGGAAATTATATAAATGCTTGATGAATGCCAATGTCGAAATTTCAGAATATGAAAACCTGAGAACTATGAATATCTTAAAATGGGATAGTTAGTTCATTGAAGCAACTACCTACCTTTCCATACATGATTTCAAGACATCAATAGGATTGTTAGTCACCAATATTAACTAAAGTCTTTCAAGTGTTATTAGTCTTTCTGATTTGATGACCAACCTAAACAATTTGAGAGAAATAAAGAATTAATGAAAATTTGCTCGCTGCCAAATGTTAACAGTAGAAATATAAGTTTTTGAAGCAATGAACTATATACAGTGGCTTTTGAAGGACTGTTCACAAGTGAAAGGATGGATGCATGATTTTAATCATAGGGGGCGAACTTATAATCAAGGAGAAAAAAATACTACTTGTATTGCTTAGTTTGGATAATTTTCACTGACAAAAATGTGCATTTTGTAGTCACTGTAGACATAGGTAAAGTTAAAAGATGACGATTCAATCTATTGACAAGAGGATAAATTATAGACTTTCTTGCTTTACAAACACTTTGGCACAACTCAAATATTATTAATAATTTTTGAAATTCGGAATGTCTAATTTTTTTAACTGGAATTTCAAATGTAAATTAAATTTACTTGCAAGCTTGCAAATATCTTTAATTTTGAAAAATCAATCAGTTTTTTTAATTCTTGTAATTGAGTATCGCATGTAATTGTAAAATGTCAACTCAAAAATGCTCAATGGTAATGTGATCTCTTTGTTGGCAGGTACGACTTCCATCAAATGTAATTAAGTCAAAGAAGAAGAAGAAGAAGAAGAACAAAGAAAGCCATAATTTAAATACAGAAATAAGAAAAGGAGGAAGAATTGAAAGTATAAGTTGTTTTAAAATAGAGATGGAGAAGAGGAAGAAAAAGTGAAAATGGAAATTGAGTTCTGGGCAAAATTTAAATAACAAAAAAGATAAAGGAAAAAATTGAGGAAAGAGAAGAACAAGAAGAGAAGAGGAGAACCAAAACAAACAAACAAACAAGAATAAGAGGCAGAGAGAGAGAGGAAACCTTGAGTTAGAAAAGTAAGATTGAAGCTTAACACTGCAAATTGAGTTAAAGAAAATCAATAAAATCTTGGAGGGGTGAGCCTGTATAATTTATAAATATTGATAACTAATACCACTATATTTAAGGAGTTATTTCAAAATTTTGGGGCGGCGGTTGCCCTGCCAGCCCCCTCGATCCATCCCTGCACAAGTGGTAGGTCATTAGAGTGGGCCAAAGTCTCAACTATAACCATAAATACCAAAATAAAGGAAACACATAGAATCCTGCTAAAATAATCATTTTCTTAAATGAACGTTAAACAAAGAGAAAATATTCCATGTCTTGCAAAAAAGAGTTTTTATTTTTTACTTTTTGGTAAACCTTGACGACATAAGGAGAAATTTATTAATAATCTAAAATCGAGAGGGGTAATGAGCCTTATCTCTCAAGCAATAGAAGAAAAAAAATATTCATGCAAAAGAATGGGTAAATTACACTTTACATCCTTATACTTAACATCTAATCTCACCTTACATTCTGACCTTTTAATTGTTTTAGTCAACCATCTAGACTTCGAGTCAAATTGGAATTGGGCCCATTTGTGTAACCTTGTTTCAAAAACTAACAAAGAATAGTCATGTGATAGAATTAATTACAATTAGCACCCCTGCACTTTTATCAAAATCTCACTTTATTCCTTATCAACTTGTATTTTTACTTACCCAAAAAAACTTGTATTTTTACCAAAATCTCATTTTAAGACAATGTTATATGCTTAGGCCCAATTGAAACTGGACTTGAAGTCTAGGGGCTGACTGAAATAATTTAAAAGTCAAGGGGCAAAGTAATAAATGGTGTAACGTATAGGGATACAGTTTAATTTGGTACAAAAAAGAACCAACACTAACAAACTTGAATATGTATATATATATACAAAGTACCAAACCTGTCTAAAGCCACAACAAGCTTAACCAATCTACAAGGCTCTTAAAAAGTAGAGAAATAAGAATTATTATCACAACCCCAATTAGCTAACACACCTGCAACTTTATTTACTTACTTCAGTGCATATTTTTCATCTAAAATGGCTTTTCAGTAGCTATGCTCATCATAAATCAGAATTTAAGGGTATGCATATTAGAAAAAATGGAATAACAAGCTTAAATGTAGCAATTTGTCATCATTAGTAAGTTAAAATGAACAAACACTACATGGGTAATTTAATTGGAAATAAATCATTGCAATAGAAAAATATATACCAGGAGCAGCATAACCAAAGGTCCCAGCAAATGAAGTCCAATTGGATGAGTTGAGATTCATAAATCTAGCTGTGCCAAAATCAGAGATGTGAGCCACATACTCCAAATCAAACAAAACATTCTTGCTTGATATATCTCGATGGATGATTGGTTGAAAACAATCATGGTGCATATAAGACAGAGCATTTGCCACACCTTTAACAGTGTTCACTCTCTTCATCCAATCAAAGACTACTATATCATCGTCCGTGCTTAGTACCTTTCCCAAGCTTCCCCCTTCCAAGAACTCATAAACCAAAAACGAGTGCCTTGGGTGTGAACAATAACCATACAGCTTTACAATGTTGTGATGCCGAATCTCAGTTAATGCACGGATCTCACTTGTAAACCCTTTTAGATTAGCCCAGTCATCATCAAGTTTTGCATGAAGTTTCTTCACAGCAACTACTTGACCATTTGGTAGGTCAGCTCTATGAACGGTACCATATCCTCCCTCTCCAACACAATATTTGGCACTGAAGTTCTCAGTGACTTCAATGATGTTTTCATAGACCATTTTTCCATCATAGCTCCATATTGCAAAAACATTATCATGGTTTACTCGTGATGGCTCGTTTTTTGTGTTCCTCACTTTCTTACGAAAAGCCATGAAAATGCCAAGAACCATTAGCAAAAGAAACAAAATTCCAAAAACAAGAAGTATAGTTAGTAACATAACTTTCTTGCCCTTTTTTTCAACATCCCCATCATTCAATTTTTTCAAGCAAGCCTTCAGACCAGTAGCATTACCACATAAACCTTTATTACCTTTGAGTGCCTCAAATGGAGCCTCACGGAAGGCTTTCATTTTGGGAATAGGACCCTCCAACTGATTGAAAGATACATCTACCAATGTCAAACTTAACATATTCTCGAAAGATGATGGAATGGAACCAGAGAGTTCATTATGGGAGAGATTTAGTATTTCTAATAGTTGCAATTCTCCAATCTGCTGTGGTATCTTACCTATTAGCAAATTGTGACCAAGATCAAGACTTTGAAGGTTATGCACATGACCTATTTCAGAAGGAATGCTTTCCCCAAATCTATTATTGCTCAAATTCAAGTTCAAAAGTTTCTTGCACTCCCCTAGTCCTCCAGGGATTGAACCATTCAGATCATTTCTTGCCAAGTTAAGATATTGTAGATTGGACAACTTGCTGAATTCTAGAGGAATATTCCCTGATAGATGGTTATCATCCAACCTAAGGTTGAACAGTGAAACCATCTTTCCTAATTTCATTGGGATCTGTCCAACTAGGTGATTTGAAGAGAGGTCAAGAAGACATAGTTGAGTTGAATCCATTATTTCAGGTGGTATCTCACCAGAAATATTATTGTTTGATATTTTGAGACTAGTTAGATTATGGCACTTCTTCCATTTTTGGGATACCTCACCGTAGAAATTGTTATGACTCAAATCAATGTAATCCAAGTTTGGGTATATGCCAAAATCTTCTGATATATTTCCCGAAAGTTGGTTTCTTTCAAGCCTAACTCTATATAAGCTAGAGCAATTTCTCAAGCTTTTTGGGATGGGACCTATGAGATTATTATCATTTGCTGTAAAAATAACCAGCAATCCATTAAAGCATAGGCCTTCTGGGATATGACCATTGAACATGTTTTCACTTATGCAAAACGTTGTTAAATGTGTAAGATTGTTGAACACTGGGGGAATGGTTCCAAAAAGTCTGTTCTCGAAAAGGAACAATGTGATTAAGTTGCTCAAGTTCCCTACAGATGCAGGGATTGAACCTGTGAGCTTGTTCCCTGAGAAATCGAGACCAACGAGAGACCTGAGCATCCCAATTTCTTGAGGGATTGAACCAGTGAGGTTGTTCCTTTGGAGTTCGAGATCAACTAGAGACCTCAGCATCCCAATTTCTCGAGGGATTGATCCGGAAAGTTGGTTGTCATAAAGGTGCAGACTGGTTAAGTTGCCCAAGTTTCCAATTGAAGAAGGGATTGAACCCGTGAGATTGTTAGCATACAAGCTAAGCTCATTGAGAGAGTTGAGCAATCCTATTTGTTGAGGGATGGAGCCACCGATTTGGTTTCTATTGAGGAACAAGATCCTTAGATTAGTTAGTTGGCCTATTTCGGTCGGAATTGTTCCAGAGGGATCGTTAAGTGCCAAGATAAGGACGGTGAGTCTTGAAAGGCTACCAATATGGGAGGGGATGGTCCCATAAAGTGAGTTGTTTGGAAGTTGAAGGGTGATGAGATGAGGGAAGGATGAGAAATTAAGATTAGAAAGAGTACCTTTCAAACCATAACTCTGAAGGTCTATACGGGCAACTCTACCGGCCTTGTTGCAATGAATTCCAAGCCAAGTGCAATGGTTGGTTCCAACCCAGGAGGACAGGAGAGTTTGCGTTTGGTTGTGAAGGGTAGCTTTCCACGTCAAGAGAGCCGTGGGTTCAGTTGCTTGTTTTCCAGTTAAGGAAGAAGCAAAAGCAGCATAATAAAAAAAAGTGGGGAATGCAAGGATGATGAGGCAGAGTAAAAGGCGTGGGAAAGAAAGAAAGTGGTTGGGAAGTGTATTGGACAAGAATGTCATTGTATTGTAGGCTTGTTTGTTATTAATAGAATAGAATAGAAAGCTATGAAAGACAGTAATAGGATGGAGGGATGAAGAGCTGCAAGAGCATGAAGGAGAGGTATTTATAGATAATAAAACTTGGAAAATTATTTTTTTTTATCGAACCTGGAGAGGTATTTCTTTCGATAGTTTTGGTTTGGATCCTCCACTAGGAAGTATTCAATTTTGGGAAATTGATGTCCAATAAGATCATGCCAGATCAATGCATATGAAAGAGATATCTTTGCACCATCACTTCTGTAACAAATTATACAACATAAGCATCCAATCATTTGGATGAACGACCTTGCCCCGTGTTTTTGATCCTCCAATAGTTTCATTTGCGGCTCTCACCATATTATTATAAATTAGGATAAAATACAATTCTATAAATATACTTTTTCATGTTACTTTGATTTTTAAATTTTTTAATATTATCATTCAAATATTCACTTTGAGTGGAATTAAATTGATTCAATTTTAAACAAATCATCTAAATCAACAAAATGATAATGAAATAATATCTATAGTTTCTAAAATATGAATTTCATGTTATTTTGGACTCTAATATTTGATTTTTTGTCACTTTAAATCCCAAACTTTTTTTTTTAATTTTTAACTTTGAATCCTAAACACTAACGGAAAAAAAAGAAGAAAAACATAACTTTATCATTTATCATAATCATTCTGTTGATAATTTAAGCAACACAATGATACATAATTTTCAAATCACAACTTTTAATAATAACAATAATATTATTTGCAGACTTGACTTGACTTTTGGCAATTCCTGTCATTTTGTTTTTTTAATAAGAATAATTTCAGAATATAATTTTGAAAACAATTATAAATTAATAATAAATTTTACTAATATTAAAATTATAATTATAATTTTTTTCATGCATATGTAATAATTGTATCAACTTACATATTTTTAGTAATTTACTTTTATTATTATTATTATTATTGTTATTACAAAATTGTTATGAACCATGACATATCTATCCAAATTTTTTTAAATAGAGGAATACATGATAAAGATTGAATTTATATAGTGTGAGATCTGTATATAAAATGAATAGAAACTATTAATATAAAATTTTGAATAACGTTTGAGTTTTATATTTGAATCCATACTATTACTTTTATTATTATAGGTAGACTTGACTTTGGGTGGCAACTCTTGTCATCTTGTTCTGTTCTCGGTGGACCATAACCACAGATGCAGGAATGTGTGTGTGTATATAATATATGTTTGATATAATAACTAACTGAGTGGAATCTTGATGAAATTATGTTTTGTTTGGAATATTATATGAATTATGTTTTGTCATGTGTTGTGATTTTTTAAAGAAATCCATCTTTGAATGCGTTGGAATTGTTCCTCTCGGTCTCTCTCATTTCTTTTGGTTCCCAAGTCCAACCTTCCCACATGGGAAAACAAACGAGAAAACGGTTTTTCATAAAACAGCTTTTATATTAAAAATATTTTTGATTAAAAAATATTTATTTTGAAAATATAAATTAAAAAAAATTAGTGTAAAAACAGTTTTATCAAAACCATTTTTAATTAATTAATTAGTGTAAAAACAGTTTTATCAAAACCATTTTTAATTAATTCAGAATTAATTAAAAGTTAATTAAAACTGGTTTTCCAAAGCTGGTTTTTTTTTCAAATTTTATTATTATTTTAATCGTGAAACATGACTTTTCAAAAGTCGTTTTCTAGAAAATGACATTGCTAAAGCCATTTTACCTTACAATGGGAATAAAGATAAAAACCCACCTAGAGTGGGAATAAAGTTTTAAAAATGGCATAGGAAGGGAAATCAGCCCTTTTAATAATGTGAAATGGACCCCATTTCTCACTACTCATCCTTCATCTCTCTATCTCTTTCTATTCTCTCTCTCTCTCATACCTCATTAAAAATCAAAATAGAGGTGATATATTAGGGAATGTAACACTACTCTTTTGAAAATTATATTTTGTTTTTAAAATTTTAATTACATAATAAATTACTCATTTTGTTAATAAATCATTAAGTCATAAACAATTTTTAATGATGTTATAAATATATTTTAATTTATATTTTTATTAATTTTATTGTTATATAAAAGGGTAGTTAAAAATTTCTCTTTCCATATTAATTCTGTTAAATGACAAATTTTGACAGCTAGAAGTATTTGTAATTTTCAAAATCACAAAGGGCAATATATATTTTTTAAAAATCTCAAAAAAGTATTTATAATTTATCATAAAAAAATAAGTCAACAAAAAAAAATCAAAAAAGCAAATTCCAAACACCTACTTAATCTGCACCAAACACCCCCCCATTGTATAATATCAGGACTTGAGTTGACTATAGATGCCGATAAACACCTATATACAATTTATGAAATTTGTAATTTTGATTATGACAATTATTTTTTTGTTTGCCGTAACTAAAAAAAAAGACTCATAAACAAGCATTACATAAAGTATAATTAACGACCTTTTGGATTTCTAACCAAACTAATAATTACGAAAGGTTATAATTAACATCGCTATAAGTCATAACAGAATCATAATTATAATCAAGTCATAACAAATACCATAATAAGTCATAATAAAAGACTATAAATGTCATAATTGATACATACGGTGTGTATTGTAAAATTTCCTTTATTTTAATTAGCCTACAATCCCCCTTCTTTAACTTATACGACAACAAATTTAAACATAAGATTCGGATCGCCATCACGGAACTCGTTTCGATAATCCGAATCATTCAGTTTGGAAAGTGCATCATGTATATCATTCACACAAAAAATTTAGTCAATCCAATAATCGTAACAAGTTCAATTTGTAGCGTTTATTATCAAAAAAAAAAAAATGAATGATCTTTTTTAAAAAATACACTTGTTATCAATATTTTTTTTGAGATAAATTTGAGAAATTGGATAAATTATAATTATTGAATCGATCTATTTTTTTAATGTGAATAATAGGGTTGGACTTTTCTCTAATCTAAAGGAGTGTACTATTTAGGCTTGTGGAACTCACCGTACATCCCGTTTTCCAATTATCCAAATCATTTATTTTATGGAGCCTTTCATGTATATCATCCATACAAAAAAGTTAGATTAATTTGATAATCGCAACCTATTCAATTTATCTCATTGGTTTAAAAAAAAAAAAAATAGACGATAAGTATGTTTTTGAAAAGAGGAAATATCATTTTGCCCCCCAAACTATCACGCATTTTTCACGTTGACCCCCATACTTCGATTTATTTCAATTTAGTACCCGAACTTTCTACAAATTGATCAATTAGGCCCTTGTTGTCACCTTCCGTCTACATTTGGACGGAATGTGCTGACGTGACATTTAAAATTTCATTTTACCCCCCAAACTATATCTTAAAAATCAATTTATCCCCCAAATTAAAAATCAATGTGCTGCCGTCACACATTGTATTATATAACTCTTACATGCTTATCCTGTGGGACAAAGTATATATTGGTGGGAAATGAGAATGATTTTCCTCTCTTGCCCTAATTTCATAGTCACATATTTATTACATAATTGGATTCTGTTAAAAACTTTAATAATGGAGTAATAGAAGGGACAAATTGACATTTAACCAGAAGTGCAGGGGGTTGACTATCATGATTTTATGTGTAGGGATCAAAGTGGGATTTGACCATAAGTGCAGTGGGCTGACTGTCACGATTTCATGTGTAGTACCATAGTTAGATTTGGTGTAAAGTGTAGGGGTGTAAACTGTAATTTACCCCATTTGTTTTTTGTGATGAATTTAGTGATGTTTGATTAGTCACAAATTAAATTAATATAGTTCATATTTATTTTTTCAAAATTCAATGGATTTTGGTATGATTTTGCTAGTATGTTGTTCAGGAATTTCGAATTTGAGTCCTACATATTTCCTGTATACTACATTTTGTTAGGAATTGATACACCTAATAAGGATAGGTGAGATACGAAACACGAATAGAAAATAAAAAATAAAAATGATGCAAGCACATAGGAATACAATGATTTACGTAGTTTGTCCCCAAACAATAGTAACATTCACAGCTGCTGCTATTTTCATAATGATTAAAAAAAAAAATTAAATGATACAAAGACAGCCCGTCTTACCCTACATAGAAATTAGAGGAATAAGATAAAAGTGTGGAAATACCAAAACATTTTTGTACTAACAACATCACACATTCACATACATTATAAATGAAGTATAAACATTTTTGCCATTTTTGTTGCAATTCATGTAATTTTCTTAAGCAGGTCCTGATATCCATTATTATACATATATCCACATACATTATATGGTAATTGTTGATAGACTTATATAGAAATCCCTTTTACAGTAAGAGGTATAAATCTTTTGCAAAATGAAAATGGAAAAAGAAATCTCTCATTCTGCAAAAGGTATGAAGCTTTTACTTAGAAATCTCTCATTCACTTCCATTGTATAAGCAAATTTTGAAAAAAGAAAAAAGGGAGAAAAAAAAAAAAAAGTCTGCAGAACATAAAATCCCATTTTGGTCCTACACATCAAATTGTGACACTTAACCCTCTGCGCTTTTGGTCAAGTGTCTCATTGGCCCTTCTTTACTCCCACTGTTTGACTCTTTAACAGAAGTTAGTAACATGAAAAACATGTGATCACTAAATGATAGCAAAGGGGGGAAAACTTGCTGGCAGTATCCATAACTACATTGCCACAAATGAAGCCAATATCCACATGAACACGCAAATGGACATAATTCATTTCATAAAATATATTGTTGGTATCCACCAAGTCAAAATGGCCATATGTTCATGATGCAAACATGCTGGCAGTGTCCATAACTACATAGACAAACATGCCACATTGTCAAGTGTTTGATAATCAAAATAAACAACACCCCTACTTTGGGTTCTTCTCCTTAGAGGCAGATGCATTCTGAAGTGAGGACAAGTTCACAACATTCCTCCCTCTCCATGTAAATTAGGCTGTTGTTGGTGTTGATGTTGCTCCCCTTGATGCTTCAGATGTTTGTGACAATGCTGCCTTTGTTGTTGTTGTTGCACTCGTTGTTGCTGTTGGTGTTGTCCTTGTTCCTGCTGCTATAGTTGCCTTTGATGTTGAAGTTGCTTTTGTTGCTGAAGTTTTCCCTTTGTGTTTGTGAACTTGCCCTTGATGCAGATGGATTTGGTGCCCATGGAATTGCTGAAGCTGCCCTTGGAAAATATTTGGTCCAATCAAACATATATTTAGTTGTATTAATTTAGAACATTAACACCAAAGTATGCACTCACCCTTTTCCTTTTATAGCCGAAGCTCTTCCATCTTGGTTTATTTTTTTGTTGGTACTCCCTGTTTGGTGGATTCTTGCACTTCTATAGTTATGGCCCCATGTCCCACAATTACCACACTATACTATTGTATTATGCTTTGTGACTTCGGTAGGTTCGGTAGGTTCATCTGGTCCCTTCCTTCTAGAAGTTGGAGGCCTTCCTGGAGGCTTATGATAAACAGGAGGTAATGGAGATAATAATCCAGTCTTGGACCACAATTTAGGACTGTTTAGAGGTTGTATCATGTTTTCATAAATATTTAAATTGGTCTCTGTCCAATAGCATTCATTCACATTGACTGGTACTTCTTAAGCTACTATTTGGTTTATTGGAATGATTTTGAACAAGAATAAAATAACTATTCCTTGATCTCCTAATCGAATAATCATTTCCCAAAATTGGTGAATGGTGATTCCATTCAAAACACACATTCCCTACTATTTTACTGAACAAAACCAGAGTACGAGTATTCCAACATAATGACCACTCTATTCTAACCTTCATTCTACTAAACCAAACACAGCTCTATCTAACGTGACTTCTTGTATATTTTGATGTCTCTGCACCTTGACTCCATGTAATAGCTTATATTTGCTGGTGCAGCATACACTCCACATTTGAAATAGAAGTCTCCAGCACCTCTATCTTTTGTTTCAAACTTTTTCACACCATCAATGAAAACTATGAGATTTCTTTTATCCACGTCATGGATTAAGTTAACCCTGAACCATTTATCATACAAGTCTGTATCCAGAAGATCACCACTGTAGTACCTCATGTCCCCATTGTAGATCCTCAGTATGATAGTTGTGGCATAATTGGCCGCGCCATGGATCTGCACAATTGTAGCCTTCGAACTGCCTGACTCCGAATGAGTTGTCAAGGTCCTGCGTGAAAGATCGAACTGATAAATGGGTGTGTAATGTAGCAGAAATGTGTAAAAGCAGAATTTGTAGTAATGAAATCACTACAAATCTTTTATGATTCAGTTGATTCCACGAAATTAGGCTTGTCAATGGTTTGGGTTTCATCCAAAACATCCAATCCGTTTATTAAACTCCGGTCCTAAACCTGATAGGCGAATCTGTCTAGTCTGATACGAAAATTAAACATATTTTGGATGCCTAATTGAATTGGATCGGGTTGAATTCCTATGAATCCGATTCATTAACAGGTGCAGACTACCCGAACAATAGGAAACATTGAGAAAAATCTATATTATTCATCAAATGAAGAACGCCCCAGGGATTATAACTGTTATTTGACAACCATAATGCAATCAATTTCTTGCTAATCACAACACTAATTATCAAATTTGACCGATTTGAGTTATGCTCAAATTTGAATATTAGAAAGAAAAAGGTAAGTGCCAAAAGAAACTACATTGAATATAAAAATTTCTAGTAAAAATTATAAACAAAATAATATTTTCTTAAAACAATAAAATCACTAATTTAAAGCCTAAAAGACAAAACCTATTTAAAAACAACTTAGGTTACAACAAATCGGTGAGTTTCAATTATTAGGTTGTTACCAATCAAACACAGGTCTCTCATAGCAAATTAACCAAGCCGCAAACCCACATCAACCCACTCAAGCCATGTTTCTTTAGATGGATTGGATTAGATGATATTATAATTCTTAGGACGGTTAGTGTAACGCCTCACTTTTTATTTCACAATCTCATTACCAATACATTATTATAAGAGGAAACTAGTGGTAACTCGTGCGCGATGCACGAAAATATAGACTATATATATTTTGTGTGATAAATAAGTCATCTTAATCTTAAATTATATCTTAATAGCGACAAACCATGATATTAAGCCATCTGGGTAGATGTTAACAATAATTAACCCATAAAATTTCACAATAAAATTTGATATGCATAAGAAATTATTAATTATAAAAATTGTTGAGAATAATTGTATCATAATCACTTAATAACATAAATAACTTGTATCAAACTAAACAAAACATTAAAAGAGAGAAATTCTATAAGCTCATAAAAGTTATCATAAATTTACTTGGACTTTTAAATCAGTGGTGTGTATTATTATTGTGGGATCAAATTATCAATAAATATCAACTTTTAATTATAATTTATAAGTAGTTTTTAAAAAAATTTAATCTAAGTTTGTTGCCTTACATATAAAAAGAACTTCTCAAACAAATCATTAATTGATTATATTAGCAACTCTCTATCTTTGATTTCCTTTATCAATGACACACGCATATCATATCAAAGTATAAATCCTTCTCCATAGTTTGAAGAATACTTTCATAGATCCTTCGTCATTTTAAAAAAATTAATCAAGATAAGAATTTCATAGTATTATAAAAATTATATAAGAGAATAGTTTTAATCTATTTTATTTATAAAAAAATGATGAAAAATTATTTGAATTGTACTTGAAGAAATATAACAAATGATAGCTTTAATGATTATATACCCAAAAAAATATATATATTTGTGGGAAAAAATAGTCGAATACAAATAAAGTCATGGACATTGAATTAAATCATATGGGCTCTAAATTGATAGTATAATATAGCAAATCAACTAATAATAACATAGAGATATTAACAAACATGTAGTATTTCCTTATCATCTTTGTATTATATTCATTAATTTCATATATTATATGAAATTTTTATTCGTCTCGATCTTTCAATAAAATAAGGACCAAGAAAACAAATTTGATAAGAAATTGATTCTAAACTTAATTATTGAAAAAACAAAAATTTTAAAAAGAGAATTTAGAGATAGGATTGGAGAAATACTATAACGAATGACAGCCTTATAAAAAGAAAAAAGAAAAGAAAAGAAACAATGATCTACTGCAAATTATTTTTAATAACTAATAGAAAGAATATCAAATTATTACTTTTTATAAATATAGTGAAGAAAATTAATTTTGTGAGATTTTTGTGCTGCCTTCTCCCATGTAGCCTTTATTATTTCATTATTAATACTCTTCTCATTCAGAGCGAACAAATTTTATTATTAATACTTTTCTCATTCAGAGTCAATAATTTTTTTTTTAATCTTTATCACTTGGTAGATAATAACGAATAATAAAAATTATCAAACGAAGGTTAAGAATTTAATAGGAGATAAGAAGTTATAGATAAGTGTAATAACCCTCACCACTGATTACCGTTAAACATTGATTACTGATAATGACTGATAACTGACTGATAAATGAACTGATTAAAGTACTGACGACTGACTGAAAACTAGAACTGAATTGATTGCGTATATGTTAGTTAAATTGCATTCTATCTGTTTGATTGTATGAATATCTGTTCGTGCTTATATGTTTAAACTGCAAATTGAAGGCCTTATCGGCGGCCGAATCCAAAATTGAGTGATGTTTAATGATTAACATAATTTATGTGATTTTATAGTATAATTATCTGAAAACTGATTAGGTATGATTAAATTAGATTAAAATAAGCTAATTAAAGAGTTGGACTTAATTACCATTTTGCCACCCTTAGTGGCCCACTCAATATAACATATTTGAGCCTCAACATACACTTAGGCAACATTTTGCTCAGCCATTTTCTTGCTCTAGCCGACCAAGAGAGGGAGAGAGTGAGAGAACTTGGAATTCATCTTGAAGAATTGCTTGGATTGAAGTGTAGATGTCACATTTGAGCCCCTAGACCTTGAATACAAGACTAATGTAGGAAACTCACCTTCTTATTGTTGCCATTGAGCTAGTTCTTGCATAAGTCATGCTTCATTGTAGAACTAAGTCATATTTTGGTTCATTGTTGTTGATTTGAAGCTCATTTCATGCATGCATGTTTGTATTGTAGATGTTTGAGTTGTTTTCATGGCAAAAGGTTACATGCATGTTCATAATCATGTTTAAGTCCATGAGTTCACCATGTTTTGAAAAGTATTGGCTCCTGAGAGCATCAAATTGAAGCTTCAAAATGGTTTGAATTCATGCATGTTTGCATGTTCATCTTGTGCGTGAAAAATGGTTTAAATTGAGTTTGAATTAAACACCCTTGGGCTTTGATTTCTTAAAATTGAGCTTTGAAACATGATATCCTATGTATTTATAAATGTTTTCCAGAAAATGGGCCCAAGAGGATTGGTTTTGATGCTTTTGAGCTTGGTTTTGGACCTGGAGCTCGAATCTGGGATTCCCAGATTTCAGTCGTCCGCTCGAGCGGGAAAATCGAGCTTCCAGCATCTTGCACTGTTTTACAGTCCGCTCGAGCGGAGTCATGTCTCAAGCTCGAGCGGGCGTCGAGCGGGGATTTCACCCATCCAGTACTTTTACAGTACGCTCGAGCGAGAAAGTTTACGCTTGAGCGTGTACCTTTGTTTGCCTGTACGCTCGAGCGGGGAAACCTGCGCTCGAGCGGGACTCTGTTTTTCTGAAAATGCTTTTAAATGTATATTTTTGCATCCTCATCCCATCCTAGGCATTCTTAGGCCTAGTTTAAGACATCTTAATGAGGATATCGTTTTTTCAGACTCACAATCTTTTTCTGTGGTTTCATTCTTTGCATGACACCTGTTCCTTTTATGTCACTACGGTCTCTCAATTAAGAACTAGTTAGTTCTGGATTGTGAAGAACATAGAAACAAGTTCTAATTGCTATTCAAAAGCGTTATAACCTGGGGGCGAAGGTTCATGAAGAAGTTCTCCAATTTGGGGCTTATTTGTCATTGTTTCTTCACAGAACTTACAGCGAGCGTAATGTTAACGGAGGTAAAACAAGAGTTCTCACCTCAGGCTAGTAGCAATATTAATGTTCATTTTACTCTTCGCTGTAATCTAACTCAATCAAGGTATGTAGATGCAATTCAAAGAGAATTCATTCTGTTACAATGTAGTTCTAAATTTCAATTGCAAGTTACAATGTAGTAATGTTTTGTTCTATATAGGCAAAGATGATCAATACAAATACAGACTGAAGTGAATTTTCTAGTGGATCAAATTGTTTGTATCAGTACTCGTCAAATGAAAATGGAAATGGATGATGATGATGTGAAACTTTTCAGAGGAATTTGAAGGCGATGATTAAACAGAGAGTCCAGAGAGACATCAAAATCCCCATCTGCAGAAGCAACTCCGTCACGCTGCAAAGTCTCAGCTTTCGATTCTTCACTCTCTCCCTCACCAGTTTCCTCCTCAGATCCTCTGAATCTCTCTTCAGCTTCATCTCCCTTTCCTGAAACGAAGTAATTCAGATTCAGCGTCACAAGTATACACATGAATGCACAGAGAGAGAGAGAGAGAGAGAGAGAGCGTCAGAGAGAGAAAGGGACCCTGTGTTCGAGGTCGTTTGGTGAATCGAGGCGGCGTTTTGGGGAACATTTTAGAGACGAAAGGAGCATTGCGGCTCTCGCACAACGAATGGCGACCTGAGATTTCAGAGCTTCGTCTTTGCTTTCGACATCAATCCCCTCCATTCTCTCTCTCTCTCTCTCTCTCTCTCTCTGGTTTCAAGTTAATTTGCTTCCAGGTACTTCTCGTTTTTCTTAATTTATCTCTTGTAAATTCCTCAACCTCAATATTAGAATTATGAATTTAAAGAGAGATTTAAAAATAAAAAGAGAAATAAAGAAAATTTAACTTATATTTCATTCACATTTATCTCATTTAATTTTTTTTTTCTAAATTCTTACTTAAATTTATGATCGAAACACAATTTAAATATATATATTTGTATAATGGGTGGGATATATACTTCATAATTTTTTGTTGTTGAATGTTGTGTTTATAATTTTTAGTTGATTAGATATGTGTGTCCACTCTGTAGACACCAATTTGTAGTAGCACAGATATGAAAGGGCAATTTTCCTGAAAATGATCATATATTTTTGTTTTGGAAATAGAAAACGATAAGTTGGTACCGACAATTTGGATAAGAATTTAAAAAGAAAAAATAAAAAGAGCATTGATAGAGACCCTCTCCAATCACCACCCCCACCACCCCACACACACGTGGCGGGTGATGATTGGAGGAGAAGGAAAAAAAAAAAAAAGAGTAGCCAATCAAAAAAGAGAGGGGGTCAAAGGGGGTGAGGGGAAAGGAGGTCTTAAACATTTTTGTTTATATGGGAATATCATTTTCAGGTACAGGTAGCATGCCACCTCCAAGGACATAGCTTGGGAGGCTAGAGGCGGACATACTTTTGTCGTTTTACTTTTTGATGTATTACATGTAAATTCAAGCCAAGGGCTTAATGTGTAACGAGTTAGTACTCTTTTGTTGTAACCAAGTGTTAACTTGGAAAGCTGTAAGCCCATAGGGCATTTGCTTTTGTTGTTAACATGTAACACTTATGTAATGGAATTCTGACAAATGGATGAATGTGGAACTTTTACATATCAATGCATGTCTTATTTGATGGGTTTAATGTTATTATTTCGAGGGCGTTACAGAGAGAGTTTTAAAATTATGAAAATTTAGGAATAAATATTTAGAGGCTTTTGACAAAACAACTACATTTGGTGTTATATATACTAGCGATAACCCGTGCGATGCACGGAAAAATAGATTATTTATATTTTGTGTGATAAATAAATCATCTTAATCTTAAATTATATCTTAATAGCGACAAACCATGATATTAAGCCATCTGGGTAGATGTTAACAATAATTAACCCACAAAATTTCACAATAAAATTTGACATGCATAAGAAATTATTAATTATAAAAACTATTGAGAATAATAGTATCATAATCACTTAATAACATAAATAACTTGTATCAAACTAAACAAACATTAAAAGAGAGAAATTCTATAAGCTCATAAAAGTTATCATAAATTTACTTGGACTTTTAAATCAGTGGTGTATATTATTATTGTGGGATCAAATTATGAATATCAACTTTTAATTATAATTTATAAGTAGTTTTTGAGTAATTTTTTTTTTAAAAAAATAATTATTTAATCTTTATCTTTATTTGTAGGCCATGAAATTAATTTTTATAAGTTATTTATCAACTTTTATTTGTTTATTTATAGGAAGAAATTTTAAATTATCTATAAGTTATGAAATTAATTTTTTTAAATTAATTGTTTAATTTTTATCTTTATCTGTATACTATAAAATTAATTTTCATTTTTTATATGTTTATCTATATGGAGAAATTTTGAAATTCAAATCTTTATCCATAAGCAATGAAATTAATTTTAATTTTAATTAATCAAACAAATGGAAAATGAAGAAAAATATAAAACATGAAGGGCAGTCAAAGAAGGTTGCCACGTAGGAAAGAGATAGTTTTAAAATTATAAGAATTTAGGAATAAATATTTGGAGGTTTTTAACAAAACAACTACATTTGGTTATATATATATAGTATAGATATCATTTTGCCCCTCAAACTATCACGCTTTTTTCAATTTGACCCCCATACTTTGATTTATTTCAATTTAGTACCTAAACTTTCAACAAATTGATCAATTTAACCTCTGCCTTCACATTCCGTCTACAATTGGACGGAATGTGCTGACGTAACACCAAAGTTCATTTGAAATTTCATTTTAGCCCCCAAACCATACCTTAAAAATCAATTTGCCCCCTAAATATAAAAAAATTAAATTTAAATATTTAATAAATAATTTTTTATCTCAATAATGAGAAAATTAAATTTTAAATAATATATACTTTGCAAAAAAATAATAAAAAATATAAAAATTCTCATTTTGAATTATTTTGAGACTATGAAGCATAGATGTTTCAACAAATATGTCATACCCGTACCGGGTACTTACCGACGTATGATATTTTCGCATACGTACTGGGTACACAAAATATGTATTCAAAATTTTCTTTCTTAATTTTTGGCCTACCCAAACATATCTAATATATATCCAAGCTGTGCCATACCTCAATCGAAAATAATATTTTTCTTCTACTACAAAGATAAAATTCTTTTACTAAACTTCTTTTTCATTTTTAGTTTTGTGCTTAGTATGGTTTTAAAATTAAGTTATGGTTTATAAGTTATTTAATATAATAATATTTAATTTTATCTTATACCTATGCTTTTGGCATTAAATGTCAATTGTATGATGGATTTAACAAATTAAACCATTTAATCAATTTTTGTGTTATTTCAAATTAAAAATAAATATTTTTTTACAAACGTATTAAACCATACCTGTACTCGTACCCTACTTTTTAAAGATTTTACCATGTCGATATACTCATATCGTACCAATACTAGTACTCATACCCATACTTGTGTTTCATAGGTCTCCTAGAGAAACTTATTGAGCCGAATTTTTTTTTGACTACTCTATGTGCGTGTGCACACTCAATTGTAACTACTTTATTACTCAAATTAATTTCAATAGAATTGATCGACTAATAGTAATTTCAAAATTGAGTGGGAAATTTTTTTTAATGAGTAACCGATGCAGGTACAACATGTTTGTCGAAATATCCATGCTTCATAGTCTCAAGGTAATTCTAAATGAGGACTTTTATATTTTTTTAATTGTTTTTTTGCAAAGTATATATGATTTAAAATTTTATTTTTTCATTATTGAGATAAAAAAATATTTATTAAATATTTAAATTTAATTTTTTTTATATTTGGGGGGTAAATTTATTTTTAAGGTATAGTTTTTTTTTTGGGGGGGGGGTAAAATGACTCTAAATGAACTTTGGTGCCACGTCAGCATATTCCATCCAATTGTAGACGAAATGTGATGGCAGGGATTAAATTAATTAATTTGTTGAAAATTCAGGTACTAAATTGAAATAAATCGAAGTATGGGGGTCAAATTGAAAAACGCGTTATAGTTTGGGGGGCAAAATGATATTTCCTCTTATTATAATACAATTTCAGAGATAATATACGGAAGTTCTACATATTAACAAGGATAAATAAATGTAGATTCTCTCATTTGATTATATAATGAATGCAACAAGAGATACAATTAAATAAGTTGCCTGTGGGTATACATCACCACATAACAAAAGGAAGGATTTAACCCTTCTACAACAATGGCGTTCCGCCAACAAGTACAAAAGGCCCCGTGGCCAACAAATAAAGAAGATACTCGATCTTGAAACACTTCGACGTTCACTTGAAAAGGATTAGCAACGTGGGATGAACATGAAGGCCTTGAAAGGCCCCTCCTAGGCCTTGAAAGGCCTCATTTTGTGCTATTTTGTGCTAGTTTCGAGACTTTGGTGTTTGGGCCTCTTCACCACTGAAATCTTGAGGGATTTCAGTGGGAAGCTGGTGCCTTGAAGTCTCCAAAAGGGGAGGGCCACCCCTCTCCTTGTTGTCCTTGAAATGGACCATTTTTGGCCTCTTGAGAGAGCATCATGATAGAGTGTGCATTGACCATGCTTGGCTGCTTTCCATGCTTAATATTGTTGTGATATACCTCTGTTTTGATTGGTTTTGGACTCCATGCATGCTTAGCATAGTTGCCATGAAATGCTTGTGATCCCTTAACATGTCTTAGGTTGTGTGCCTTTGTTTCTACATGTTTTAGGCTTACATTTGTGAGAGATTTTGTGCTTATCTTACATGTTTTTAGGTCTGTCCATAAGTGTTTGGTGATCTTGGCATGCTTAGTAAAGCCCTTTGCATGTTTGGCTGTTGGTCTAATGTGCATAAGTGTGTAACATGCATCGCTTGTATAATTTTCAATGGTTTGGAACCATTTTCCATGCTATTCAGTCCCTTAAACATGCTTGCTTGATTGCCTTGCATGCCTCTTTAATGCTTTGAAAGCATGTGTAGCATGTTCCATGTTTTTGGCCATAGTGCATGCTTTGAATTAAGCCACTTAGATGCCATCTAGGGGCCCTTTGCATGATCTAGTCTGCCTTGAACCTTTTAGGTCCTTAGCCTTGTGAGGCTGTTTGGCTTGTTCCATGCTTCAAGCCCCTTTGACTTGGCTCCAAGCACTTAGGCCATTTGTGCATGTTTAGCTGGACTTGTTGCTTGGTTTTGAACCTTGTATTAACATGATTTTCAGAGCTCATATTGCATGCTAATGTCCATGATTACCTTCTTTCAAATGTGTTTGAAGATTGTTCAATTTGTGTCTAAGTTTGTCCTGTGTTGCATGTGTGTTTGTATGCCATTTAGCCCTCATTTTATAGCATCATGGCTACTGTTTTGGGCCTATTTAGAGCTGTCAATCATGTTTAAGCCCATCTTGCCATTATTAGCATTGTCTCATGTTTGCTTGTATGCTTGCGTAAGTGCCTTGCCATCCATTTTGCTTCCTTGCTTGTTGCCTAGGTTGGCAATTGCATCTTGCTGCATGCCCTTTCCCTTGAATTGGTGATGGAATTGGCCTTGGTTTGTTGTATGGTTTGCATTTCACTTGATATGAATTGCATACTTGTTCTTTGGGCCATCAATGCATGAATGCGTGATTGTGGTCCAGGATCGCGGCACAGGCCCCTTTGAGTTCATTACATGATAACATGATATTTGGTCATTATGCCCTTGAATTGTGTCTATGCTTTGCCTGCCCTCTGTTACTGTCATGTTGCAGAATTCTGCAGGAACAACTTCTGCGACCGCAGTGTAAAGTGCCGACCGGCTATAATTTCTCTGCCGACAGCTTCATATTTGTGCCGGTGGCCGCATCCGCACTGCTTCGGTTTGGCAATCCCATAGATCGTGATGTCTCCCAGCACCAAGGGGCAGTCCTGAGGTTTGGCACGTCTCCAGAGGAGTGAAGAAGGAAAACAGAGGCCAGGCCTACATGTCGTAGTTTTCCACGAGGCGATTCCCTGTTTTCTTAGCTTAGTAATTCTGCTTAGTTGATTTAGGCATTGTAATTTAATAGCTGGTAGTAATATATTTGTAATATTTATTTGGTTCCCTATCGAGTGAAGGGACAAATCCTGTAATAAGTGTGCGTGAGGGTGTGTATGTCTTCCAATCCCCCTTTCTTTCTTCCCTTTTACTTACCTGTTGTTGGTTAGTAATCAGGCACGTTTAATTTAGCA